TCCCACAGGCTCCTGTCCCCATGCTCTCCCACACATTCTCGTGGGCTCCGTCTGCTGGAAGGCCCTGTCCCTAACTTCAAGGTACAGCTCAAGAGTCACCTCCTCTAGCTATTCTTCCCCAACACTTCCCATGCAAGGGACTATGTACTTTTTGTTGTTGTTAATCCTCACCTGAGGGTATTTTTGCACTGATTTTTTTTTTTTTTTTTTGGTATGTGCCCCTAGTGGGAACCTGGAACTCTCTGGTCCGCAGGCCGATGCTCCAACCGCTGAGCCAAACGGCCAGGGGTCCACTGATTTTTTTAAAAGATAGAGTGGAAAGGAGGGAGGGGGGCAGAGAGAGAGAGACAGAGACAGAGACATTGATGTTTCCACATCGGTTGGTTGCTTCCCGCATGACCCCAACCAGGGCCTGGGATCAAATGCACAACCCATGTACGTGCCCTGACAAATCAAACCCGAGACCTGTGGGTCCGAGGACCGATGCTATAACCACTGAGCCCAATTGGTCAGGGCAGGACTATGTACTTTTTGAGACAGGGGCTAGGCTTGGGTCCCCCTGTGACTCCTCATTTTATAAACCCAACTTCTGGGGAGTTCACCCAAGATTCTACCTGTTGGTCCCAGTCGCCCTCTGATCCCGGTAAGGGTTGTTTGATTGTTGACATCCACATGTCCTTAAATTGCTCTTTGAACACCCACAACTCAAGGCCTCTCTGGACTCAGTTTCTTCATCTCTGAAATGGAGATGATGTCACTTGTCCTGCCTGCCTCGCGGTTCCTCCGGGGCACCGCGGCCCCGCAGCCCTGTGACCCTTCCCGAAGGAACCACGCAGGCGAGCTGGGCCGCTGGCAGGATGGGGGAGCACACCAAGGAGAACAGGCCAAAAATAACCAGCCACACTCTAGGGGACACGAAACCGTCACCTGGAGGCTGCCTGGAGTAGCGTCAGAACTGTTACCGTCACTGTCACTGTCACAGTAAAGCCTTTGTCTCACTGCTGTGGCGTTTGGGAGAGCTGCTTGAAGCAGCCTCAGGTGCCCAGCAGCGTGTGGCCCCGTCGAGTGACCCTGGTATCCCCTAGGTGCAGGCAGCAAGCCCAGGTGAGGACAGAGGACAGTTGTCAGTAAGGGAAAGCAGATGTTGACACGGGGAGGTCCAGGGACAGCTGTGAGAGCGAGAGGAAGGGAGGGGTGACAGGTCCTGCAGGGAAGCAGTTGGCTGGAGGGGCCTCAGTTTCTAATGGCAGGGGCCCCAGCCCAGCGCCCTCCCCCTGCAGCTGTGCTGGAAAACCCCAGGCTGCGAGGTCGGGGCCAGGGACAGGACGACCACGGCCCCCATAGGCGCGCACATGGCTGTCTGCTCCATCGCCGCATTCCAGGTCGGCTCGTTATGAGTTTCCAGGATGTGGCCTGGTGGTTTCACTTCCCTTTCTTCTGCCTCGTGATAGCAGCAGCCACTGTTTGTGTGCCCAGAGTGTTCTGGCCACTTTCCCTCATTGTGTCACTTCATCCTCTTGCCCAGCCTGAGGGAAGAGAGCCAGATGTGTGCTTTCGGTGGCCCGGCCGCTGTCCCCTGGCATGTGTCTCCTCTGGGGCCGACCCCCACGGTGCCTCTCCACTGCTCACCCAGTGGGCCCTGGTGCTGCAAGCTCCTGCCTTTCCCACGTCCAGTGGGCACCGTTCCAGGGCAGTCGGCCTGCCCTCTGGGGGCGCCAGGCTGCCTGTCTAAGCTGGCCTGGCCCCACGGGCCCTCCATCTCCCCTGTACTTCTTTCTTTTTATTTAATCCTCCCCTGAGGATACTTTTTCAAATATCTTTGGACAGAGTGGGAGGGGGAGAGAGAGAGAGGGAGAGAGAGAAACATCGACGTAAAAGGGACACATCAATTGGCTGCCTCCCACACAACCCCGACCAGGGCCAGGGACGAACTGCAACTGAGGTACGTGCCCTTGGCTGGAATCGAACCCACAACTCTATGGTCCGCAGGCCAACGCTCTAACCGCTGAGCAAAACCAGCCAGGGCTCTCTTTCTTTTTTTTTTATCCTCACCTGAGGACATTTTTCCATTTTTTGTTCAGATAGAGTGAGAGGGAGAGAGGAAGAGAGAGAGAGAGAGAGAGAAACATCAATGTGAAAGGGACACATCGAGTGGCTGCCTCCCGCACGACCCAACCAGGGCCGGGAACAAACTGTAACCAAGGCACATTTTTTACTCAGTTAAATTTTGTACACGATGTTTTAGCAAGCTTCCTATGGACCAAGCTTAGCACTAGGGGTGAGGGTACAGGTGCAGTTCGGACTCCAGAGAAGCTCAGATGCCAGAGCAAGCCCATCTGGGCTCCAGTCCTCGCTCCTCCACCCACTAGCTGTGTGACGTCGGGCTTGTTCCTTTACCTCTTTGTTCCTTGGTTTTCTCATGTGTAGAATGAGGATGGTAATGGTAAGAATTGTACAGGGTGGTGGTGCGGATGAACTGATTCATATATGTAAATGCTTGGAACAGGCTGGAGCACAGAAAGGCCCGTGAGTGCTTGGTGTGAGTAGTAGGAGTTGTGCGGTCTGGCAGGAGGAGCAAAGGTGAGGACGGACATTCCAGAGAGACAGATCAACGCAGACAGGCGAGGGCGTGTGAACAGCATTGCCCTCTGGAAGGGAGCTGACCCGAGCTGACAGGGTGGGACTAGAGGGGGAGGCTGCATGGGAGGCAGGGGTCCACAGGCCGCTCTTGTGGCCCGTGAGCAGCACGGGGAGCGGCAGACGCACTGCCACGGAGCTGTAACAGGATGCCTGCCATGCTTTTCCTGTTGTCATAACCTGCACACTCACGGGCTTTGTTTTTTTATTTTTTATTTTTTTCTTTATTGATCTACAGAGAGAGGAAGGGAGAGGGAGAGAGAGACAGAATCATTGATGAGAAAGAATATTGATTAGCCACCTCCCGCATGCCCCCCACTGGGGATCGGGCCCACAACCTGGGCATGTGCCCTGACCGGGAACCAAACCAGTGACCTCCCGGTGCATGGGTCAGTGCTCAACCACTGAGCCACACCAGCCGGGCCACACTCACAGGTTTTAATGACTGCACAGTGTCTCTAGGGTAAATGTTTTATAAAGTGTAATTGCCCTGGAGTTGGGTATTGAAGTTGGTTCCATTTCTATGTCAAAACAGAAACTCATTATAGTGCACATTGATGTGCATGCCTGCCTTCCATTTGGGGGTTCTTTCCTCAGGACCGGTTTCCACACCTTCCTTGGGGTCCCCCTTCTCTCCCCTGGCTGTGGGGAGGGGTGCAGACACCCCAGCTCCTGTCCCTACAGCTCCCGATGTAGAAGGAAGAAGGAATTGACACAGATCTAAGCATTCTCGCCAATGTTCTCATTTCATCCGTACAACACACGAGAGGTGGACATTTTATTTTATTTTATTATTATTTTTTTATCCTCACCCGAGGACATTTTTGCATTTATCTCCAGACAAAGCGGGAGGGAGAGAGGGAGGAAGAGAGAGAGAGAAACATCAATGTGAGAGAGACACATCGACTGGCTGCCACCCACACGACCCCAACCAGGCCCGGGGACACACTGCAACCCAGGTAACGTGTCCTTAGCGGGAACGGAACCCGGGTCTCTGTGGACCGCAGGTCAACGCTCTAACTGCTGAGCCAAACTGGCCAGGGCGAGGTGAACATTTTAAAGGAGAACCGAGGCTCAGGTCTGCGCACCCACCTCTCACTACTGATCCTGAAAGGAAGGAACACAATGCCCCAGAGCCTTTGCCGAGGTCTGCAGTCATGCTTCTCTGGGCCTCAGTGCCTCGTCTGTAAACAGGAGCAAAGTAAAGAGAACTAATATTTATTTCACTATCTGCTAGGTTCTATTATTTGGCACTGTCATGGTCCCCATGTTACCGATGAGGAAACAGCCTCAGAGAGGTTAAGTAACTTGCCCAAGGTCACACAGTTGGTAAGTGATGAGGCCGGGATTTGAATGCAGTTTTGCTCCCAAGCTGTGCTGTGTTGTATCAGCCTCATGAGGTTTTTATGAGAATTAAATGAGACCATGACATGATGTGCTTAGCTCAGGGCCTACTGCCTAGTAAGTGCTCAATAAATGCCTCTGATGTAACCATCAGCATTGACTCGTATTCCCTGTTTGGATGATTAAATGAGGCCTCTTCTTGTTCCTTTTATCCCTAAAGTTGATTTTCTCCCCAACACATGGCCAGGCTGTGACTAGTGTCCACTGAGATGTCCACTGTCCCCCAGAGTGCCCACACTTCCACGATCTGTCCTCAGTGTCTGACCGGCTCTTTCGGCAGGTGTGTTCTGGCACAGAGGCAGAGGGTGGCCTCTAGCTAATTGTCACCTGACTTTGGTGACACTGACTTAGGTAGGCAGTGTGCTTTCTGGGAACCCAGGAAATAACAAGACATCTAATTCTGTCATCCACACAGGATAATTTCCATAGCAGAAACTGTGACCCTGTGAATACGAAACGTAAAATTTCCGCCCGAACACATGTTCACTTTTTCTAAGTCTTTGCATTCATATTCATTTCCAAGGAGCTTGGCTTTGTGTTCCCTCTGAGCTCCTTGGGAAACCAGTGTAGCAGGTATTGAAGGTTTTGGACAGGTGCTTACAGTTCCCTGCCCCTGGTGGAGCGTGTGATGACCCTGGTCCCCTGTGGCTTCTAGCAGAGAGAGCACACTGGTTTTGTTTGTGGAGTTGAAATGACCCTGCCAAGCTCTTTGATTACCAGAGTTGACTCTCCGCCTACGTACGCAGGGAGAACTCGCCTTCGGCACAGGGCAGGCGAGCCTGTGTGTGCACTCCTGTGATCAGTACAGCTTCGCACTACAGATGAGGAAACTGAGTCTCTGCTGGGGCACTGGGTCCGGGGGCAGGACGGTCTGGTCACCTGTGCCAGAGGCAGTTCTATGATTCTCATTAGGCCTTCTTATCTCCCACTCAGTACCCTTTTTCTCCCCCCCTTTTCAGGTCCCTCTAGGCCCCGAATCAGGGGAACCATGCTGGTGGGGAGCCATCTGGATGCCTGGGCAGTAAATCACTGTACTTGGAGAGGTGGGCATGGGAGACTGAGCACAGCTGACCGGAGACCCCGTTTTCTTCCAGACCGAGGGGGAAGGCAGCAGGGCCTCTCCACCGGCCCCACAGAAGATGCAGTTCTTCGGCCGCCTGGTCAATACCCTCAGTAGCGTCAGCAGCTTGTTCTCCAATCCGTTCCGAGTGAAGGAGGTGGCCGTGGCCGACTATGCCTCGTGCGGCCGGGTTCGGGAGGAAGGGCAGCTGATTCTGTTCGAGAATGCTTCCAGTCGCACCTGGGACTGTCTCCTGGTCAACCCCCAAAACTCACAGAGTGGATTCCGGTGGGTGACGATCTGTTGGGACACACATGTCTTTCCTCCCAGGTCTCAGGCTGGAGGTCCCCTGGCTTTGGGTCTGCATCCAGGGGGTCAGGAGAGGGTGGGAGAGGGAACTGCTCTCTAGTGGAGGAAGGGGCTTCCTAGACTCCACTCTCCTTGGCCCATCAGGGGCTCAGGAGCAGGGGCATGGGGATGGAAGACTGGGCTATTTCCTGCCATGGGGCTTGACCCATGCAGACAGAGAGAAGGATGAACGTTGGGGAAACAGAAGGGTCTGTCAGGTAAGGCCCAGGGAGGACCTGTAGCCCTGGATCTTTGAAGGCATGACCGTCTTACAGGGGTTGGCCAAATTTTGTTCAGGAGAGCTTATAAGGGGCAGACAGCTGTCACTTCTCAGGACACACTGGATCGGCCATGGGCTAGAAGGAAGGGTCCAGAAGCCAGCTGTAGGGCTGTTGGGAAAAGGGGAGAGGAATGGCCAAGAACCCAACACAGGGTGGTCCAGAGCGGCTCGGGATCCTGCAGGCTGGCATTGAGTGGGGCTTGAACCAATAGCCCCATTTTCATGTATTCATCCATCTGGCTGTCCCATCACACATCCTCCAGTCACCGTGCCCCGAGCACCTCCAGTGGCTCAAGCGTCCTGGCCAGGCCCAGCTGCTGCTGTGACAGGACAGATCTGGTCTGTGCCTTTAAGGAGCATGCAGTCCTTGGGGAGGCCACCTGCAAACCGGCAGTGCCCTGTGAGGAGTGCTGTGACAGGTGGCGCCCACGGGAGGGTGGGGACACAGGAGGAGCCACTTCCCGATGGAAGGAGGAGTAGGAGTGTGCCCAGCAGAACTAAGTGGATAAGGTCGTGGCAGACCTGCAGAGGCATGGAGGCGGGGACCTGCAGGCGGGTGGCTCTGGCTGGATCCTAGTGCATCTAGGCCTGGGAAGAAGTGAGGCTGGAGGGAACCTTGGGATCATTCTGCGTAAGCAGGCTGGCGGCAAGAGTCTCAGAAAGTGGAGCTGCGGGTCAAGGTCCAGTCATCAGGGGAAGAGCAGTGCAGGGTAGCAGGGCCCCCGCCAGTCGGGTGAGAATTCAGGGCCTGGCTCCACAGGGAAACTGAGGCAGAAGAACACAGTGGGCGGTAGGGCAAAGAACACAGTTCAGTGGCATGCCTAGATACAGATGTGACAAAGCAGGACTGGCCCAGACTGGCTGCAGGCCCAGAGCCCTTCCACAGGCCTGCAGCAGAGGGCTGCTCTTTGGAGTGCACCGCTGACCAGGGCAGTGGGTCCGCCTCTTGGAGGGCACTCATCCTTACTTTTTGTTCCTAATCCTCACTCAAGGATATGTTTTATTGATTTGAGATGATGATGATAGATAGATAGACAGATAGATAGATAGATAGATGATAGAGAAAGAGAGAGAGAGCGCAACATCAATGTGAGAGAAATATCCATTTGTTGCCTTCCATACATATCCTGACTGGGAATCGAACCTACAACCTTTTGGTGTACAGGACAATGCTCCAGCCAACCTAGCCACCTGGCCAGAGCCATCCTTACTTCTGAGGTGCCCTGTCCTGGGGGCTTCACACCCTCCACATGCAGATCATCACCAAGTCCTATGAGTTGTAAAATGTCAATTGACAGGATTCCAGGTTTGTCTCAGGAAGCCTGAGTCCTACTGGGGGCAGACCCTCAGGTCAAACCCTTTACCAACAGTTTGTTCGCTACACCTGTACTGTTACTGCCCCTGCATTGGGTACACCTTACAGTCAGCTGTCCTTTCACACATGGTGTGTCGCACATCTCTAGCGGCCTGTTGACGTGTACAGGGAAGGCAGTAGCTCCTTGTATGGCGAGCAAACTGAGGCTCAGGGATGAGAAGTGATTCTCTAGGGTTGCACAGGAAGCAGAATCTTTGCGTCATCTGGTTCCTAATCCATTTCTCTTTCTGTGTAGCTGTTTCCATGTGTTTAGACAGGAGAGGGAGCATTGTTGGGTGGGGTTTCAAGCTAAGCTCCTATCTCTTCGCGGAATTCCTGACCCTCCTCACTTGGCTCTGGAGTCTCTGCAGTTCTCTCTAACCTGCTCCCACCCAGCATTTCCATGTCAGCGGATGCCATCACCTTCCACCTATGAGGCTGTGCAATCCAGACACCCAGGAGTGATCCTGATTCCTCCATCTCCCTCCGCCCCAGAGCTGGGTCCTTACCAAGTTCTGTTGGTTTTCCTCCCACGTAAATCCTGAGTCTGCTTCTTCTCTATCAATTACATTTAGGTCTGGCCTTGAGTGATAATAAGCCCAGCATGATAGCGGGGAAACAGGATAGAATTGTAGTTTTCTCCTAAGTGACGGCTGTGGCTGAAATGGCTGGTGTGGCAGCTCTGCTCCTCAGAGTCCTCAGGGGCCCAGGCTCCTTCTGTCTTGTTGCTCCACCATGTGTGGCCTCCATTCTCTAGATCACCACATGGTCCCCGATGGTCACACTAGATCCAGCCATCACAGCCACCTTTCCAGCCAACAGAAAGGTGGGCGGGCACTCTCCTCTTCAGGCACACTTCTTGGAAAGTTGCACACGTGCCTTCCACCTGAATGCCTTTGGCCAGGAATTATTCGCAAGTAACTGCAAAGGAGGCTGCATTCCAGCCACATTCCAACCCCAAATCTGTGGTCCTGTTACTCTCTGTGTTGCTGCGGGCTCTCTTTTCAGGCCACGGTGTTGTGCACTTGGACTCCTGCTGCCCCTGCTGCCCGGCTCTGCCTGTAGCCTTGCTCTCCTCCCATCCTCTCCAAGCTGCTGTCAGAATGAGCTTAGAGGGCAGATCTGATTACCACTCCCTACATTAACTCTTCAAGGCTTCCATTTCCTTAACATATCAGCGGATGAGCATGGCTTCAAAGGGCCCCTTCTGGGCCTTGCCTCTTCCTCTGGTCCCATCTCTGGCCTCCTGTGCTTCCGGCCTTTGCCCAGACTCTTACCTCTGCCTACAAGAACACTGCCTTCTTTGCTGGCCTCAGTTCTACCTTCCCTTCCTTGGCCTTCAGGCTAGAATAGGTGCTACTGCTGTGTGTCCCCGTAGTGCCCTGTCCCTGCACTTAGTGGACTGCCTGCCTGGTGACCAAGACCTGGTGAAGGAAGGGGCTGGGTCTGTCTTATTCATCCTGGTGTGACTCCCCAGCGCCCAGCAGGGTGCCTGGCACAGGTCAGATTTGTGAGATGAGTTTGACATGTTGAAGTACTCATTCAGCTTTAACCGTGTTTACTGAGGGCCATGTGTGCCAGGCCCTTTGTCAGGGCTGGAGACTGGTGGGCTCAGGGCCCTCCGATGGGGGAGCTGGAAAGAGTGAGCAGAGTGTTGGAGGGCGGGATGCCGGCGGGGAGGGGACTACGAAGAGTTGCCGAAGTGACAGTGCCCAGGCCTGGGGTGTGCCTGGGAGTGAGGGCTGCGGGGGGCCTCCCCGCTGCTCTGACACCCTGCAGTCTGTGGACAGAAGGCTCAGTGTACCGGTCGTCCTTTTCAGGGGCTGAGGCTCTGTCCTTTAAATGTCTCCTCCTCTACTTGCCTGGAGGGCTTTGAACTGTCCCTAAGCACGTAAGCAAGATTTCAGAGGTAGATGCCCAGGTCCTGCTTCCTCCTGGCTCGGGTGGAGGTGTCCCTGCCGTTCTGTCGCTGCTGTTAGCTGGCATGTATAGCCTCAGGATGAGGAAGGGACTTGGGGTCTTTGGAATCCCCAGGTTTTATTGCCTAAGGCTTGTGAGTCCCACAACACCCCTGCTGGGTGGAGAGAGGGACCCTGGCTGCTGCAGGTGGCAACAAGGACAATAATAGTAGCTGGTTTGTTAGTGCGGCACATCGCACCTGAGAGGACCCTTATCCTTACAGTGGTCCCAGGGTGGGGGGTGTCATCGACTGTCTTACAGAGGAGGAAACACAGCTCGGAGAAGTTAAGTAACTTGCCCCAGGTCACACAGCTGGTCAGTAGCAGAGTGGGAGTCAGACCCAAGCATTCGGGCCAGAGCCCATCTCTTCCTTTTCTTTCACCAGAGCCACCTGGCAGTGTGGTGACCTGGGCGGGGCTCAGCTCACCTGGGCCCATCCTGGCCCCCAGTCCCACGTAGGGTCCACGGCCCTGGCTCCCCTGCCGTGAGCCCCGGGGCGGTCGCTGGGAGCATTGCTGTGTACATTATGATAACGTCCATACTTGTGTTCCGGGTACGAATTAATCATTGACTGCTGACGGTTACTGTGACATATGCTGTCTGAGGAAACCTGCCAGCCCTCGCTGGTATCTCAGCTGAAGCAGGGCCTCTCACTTCAAGGCATGTGTGACATATGATCTCGCCTCTCGGAAGGGGGCTGACCTTGGAGGCCCTCTGCCCTTGTGCGCCGAGGCTTTGTTACGGAACGGTCAGGAAACTCTTCCCATCCCTTTCGTGGATTTGGCGTCTTACTGCTTCAACGCCTTGGCCGTCCTCATAATCACACCCCTGCGCATCCTCTCCGCTTTCCTTTGCTCTCTGTCCATCACGTTTCCTGGGCCAAACCCTGACAGTGTTAATTCCAGCTCTCCACCATGGCTGAAGGAACACCCCTCCACTGGTCTCACCTCAGACTGGGACGTTAGCTTCAGGTGACCCGTCTTCCTGTTTGGCAGCCCTGCGTTTCTCTGGGTCATCCCTGTCTGGCTCTCCTGGAAGGCACGCCTGTCCTCTCTCCACACCCTCCTGTGCTCACCCACAGTGGGTGTCCAGTGCCTGTCTCACCGGGGGAACAACCAGAGGAGAAGACAGTGGCCTCAAGCTCCCTGCACCCATGCACTGGGCCTTCCCTGTTTGTTCTGGCTCCAGGTGTATCATCCTCTGCGGGTCTCAGTGAGCCAGCCCCCGTCATGTCACCATCCTCTCTCACCCACTTCCGGGTATTATTTCAGCAATTCTTTCCTCCTACATAATTCACCCTCTTTTTTTTTTTAATCCTCACCTGAGGACATTTTTCCATTTTTTTTG